ATTGATATCTTGTGTATTCTCGCTGTATTATTATTTACAGTTTCGATTAAAACATTATATCTTTTATTGTTTATTGCGTAACATGTCGAATTATTTAGTACATTGACTATATCATTTTGTTTATTTTCAATACTGAAGATATGCTTTTCCAAAAATATACGATTGTTTTCGTCAAGGTTGCCAGTCACTGATTTAATAAAAGTTCCCAAGAAGTGAGCAATTCCACGCTTCTGGCGGGGACGGATTTTTATGAAAACTGTGAAGTGTCTCTAAATAAAGATGGTTATACTGTTTAAATAGTCTGTGGTTGGAAGTAGTGAGTGTCTGGTTAAGGAATAGGACGTTAGTTATAGTCGTTGTAAGAGTTACGTCGATAGCAGTTAAGTTAACAGTAATGTTATATCGGTCATAGTGATTTAACTCTTGAGCATGGCCTAGCAGTTCCTAGCAGTGTTTTCCTTAGACGTTTGATCTTTCTGGGGTGGGTATTGGTAGGGTTATTTTTGGAAGTAACGGCTTGAATTTTGGTGTGGCTACTGGAAGTAGTTGTAAGGTGCAGGTAATTTATTTCGGGGATTTTCTGAATATATGGTTTGTCCAGGCTCTGGAGGGGGAGTGGTCTCAGGTAGCTTTTGGTTGCGTCTATTTAAAATTGCTGTTTCTTTATCGTGGAGATTTCGAAAAAGGGAATCGATGAAAGGACGGAGTTCGTCTTTATGTCGTTGGTATACTTTTCGTAAATCGGTAAGTCATTGTCAAATAATATTTCTTCTGCACATGGGCCATATGGGATACAAAGTGGTGAATAACCTGTGGCGGAATGGATGAACTAATTATGAATAAGGACAAAATGTGTAACGAGATCAGAAAAATATTCTTTAGGGCGTTCATCGTTCTGTGAAAGTAGAGTGGAATCTTTCGATTGGACTATTGGAATTTGGGTTGTTCATTGTAGTAAAGTGTAGCTCGATTTTATGGAGATCTAAAAATTCTTCAAAACAGGTTATTCGAAAATTCGGTATCTTCGTCGCAGACTATTTTTCGAGGATAATTATGGTGGGATAAATAGTGACGTAGTTTGCTAAGGATTGTGGTATTCATTTTGTCAGGTATACAGCACACTTGGGCGTATTCAGAAAAAGAGTCGATGATTGTAAGGAAATTTTCTCGGTTACTGGAAAATGTGTCAATGTGAAGGATATCGAAAGGATTTGTCCTAGAAACGGACCTTTTAGGGGTAATTTATATGGGTGTCTCTCGTATTTATTACAAAGACAAATATCGCATGTTCTAAAATGGTAGAACGCATATTAGGCCAGTAATAATGTAATTTTAAATGACTAAGTGTTTCGTGAATACCATTGTGATTTTCTTTGTGATAATTTTGGACATTTCGTAATTGGTCTTCGGGTTTCTGTACGTCTTGAACTCGTTTGGAGCAACATAATATTTGAATAGTTTGATTATAAGTATTACGGACGTAGTCGTAAATATATTTTTGGATATCAGGATTGTCTGTCAGAATGTAGTACCGTTGATTGGGGCCTATTGTTCGATGGAGGGCAGTCTTGATGTCGGTTATCTAGTCATTTTCGGAAAGAGTGACGATTGGACTTGAAGTTCAGACGGTATTTTGTGTTAAAATTGGTGCCCAGATTTATTATGATTTGATTTGAAAAATGATTAATAGGCTCTTCTGAGAATGGAACGAGGGCAACGGGATTTTCATGAGAAGAATGTTGGGTTGACTGTCCAGTTTCTTTTTCGAAAGTTTGATTAATAAAATCATCTACGTCAAAGTCGTCATCATCATTTGGAGGGTTGGCACACAGGGACTCGGATTCATGCGACTTAAAGCATCGGCAACGACGTTTTCCTTTCCTTTCTTGTAGTTAATTTCAAAGTTGTACTCCTCGAGTTTGAGTTTCCATCGGACAAGACGAGAATTGGGTTCTTTAATTTTGTATAGCCAAACTAAGGGGTTGTGATCTGACTCCACAGTAAATTTTACACCATATACATAGGGACGGAATACTTTACAGGAATCGAGTATAGCAAAAAGTTCTTTTTCAATTGTAGATTAATTTTCCTCTGCTGAGTGTAGGGTGCGGGAATAATAGGCTATCGGATTTCCTTTCTGCATAAGGACAGAACCGATCGCCATGTTTGAAGCGCCTGTTGTGAGGGTAAATGGTAGAGAAAAATCAGGGCATTGGGGGAATAGGGGAGTTACTAAGAGCGGATTTACATTTCTCAAGGGATTCAATATATTTGGGATCTTCGATATCGATTTTAGTTCCTTTTCTAGTGCAGCGTGTCATGGGATAGGTAACTTTCGGAATGAATCGTCGGTAGTATCCTATGAGACCAAGAAAGCTTCTGATTTCTTTCACTGTATTGGGATAGGAGACCTTTGGATGGCTGAAATTTTGAAGGATTTGGTTCTTCAGGTGTTATGACGTGGCCTAGGAATGCTACTGACGTACTTAGGAATTCGGATTTATCTGGCTGAATCTTGACGTTGACTTCACGGAATTTTTGGAAAATCTGTTTTATGTGGAGAGATTTGGAGAATACGATTTCGTCGTCCATATAGACAAAACAGGACTTGCATAAGAATTACCTTAGGATTTCATCCATCATTCGCTCGAAGGTGGCTGGTGCATTTTGTAACCCGAAATGACCGTTAGGGACTGTGAATGCTGTCTTTTCGATAGAATCGGGGTGGACTTCGAACCCTGAGCCAAATTGAGGGTAGTAAAGTATGAACATGTTAAGAATTTCGTCGATGCGGGGAAGAGGGTATTTATCTTCGATTGTGTTTTCGTTAAGACGTCTATAGTCGATGACCATACGGAATTTTACTTTTACCGCTTGCGTCAGTTTCTTTCGTAACGATCCATACCATATAGGGGCTGAGTAGGGACTTGTAATAGAAGAGCACATGGCATTGTTTTGTAGTAATTTTTGGATTTGATCGGAAATTTCAGGTAGCATTGATTTTGAGTGTCGATAAGAGCGGGTTAAGATTGGTGTTTCATCCTTAGTTCGAATTAATGTTTTACAGAAGTAGTAACGGTTAAAGGAGAATTTTTTGTATAATTCTTAAATTGATGAAAAAGACATCCACATTCAGATGGTCTGTCCGTAACAAATTAGAATCAAAAGAATTATCACCAGAAGATGAGGGAGTGATTTCTTCGAAATTCGAAATGGATGTGGCGGAGATTGGTTGTGAGAAGTTGATTTCGACATTGTTGGGACGTGGTATTTCTAAGAAGCCGTCTTCACCTACATGAATTGATGCTGGAATTATTACTTGATTTTCGTGTATAATATCAGGAGTGACAACTTCGCCATTGTTAATGGAGACTGGAATGCGTAGTCGTCTATCACTACGGTAAATTATTTTAAATGGAATAAAAATGTGCAATTTTGGAATCGAAAATACGTGTGTTTCGTAATCAATATTGGCTCCTAACTGATCGAGTTTACCTGCACCTAAAAGTACATCGAAATCGTCATGCCAGTCGGCGATTCTAATTGTAAGGGGTTGATAAATACCACTTTCTTCGAACAAAGGGTAGTAAAGGTTCCGTGGATATGTTTTTGGGGTTTTCATCGAAATTAGGGTTCATAGAATTCATACTTCGAATCGAAGTTTTGAGCAGCTTTGGGAGTAATTACTGTATCAGAGCCACCGGAGTCGATTAAGACTTTTAATTTAGAATGTGGGAGACAGAAGTAAGGAAGTTTGTTGCTTTGGAATAATTATCTAATTGAATGGTTCTATTTGGGAGAGGGTTTCATTGAGGCTGGTCCTGGAAAATTTTCCTCAGGAGTATCAAAGTACGCTCAACTCAATCTAAAGCTTTGCTGCTGACCGCAT